GATTTATGTTCGTTAAGTATTATTCAAAAAGGTTTTTTTAACATAATTAACAGAACTTAAATCTGTTATAATTAAAACTGTGCCAATTAATATGTATTTTACCCATTTGCTTAACAAAAAATTTTTTTTTTCATAAACATATTCTGAATTTAAGCATTAGTTTGTGTTTTCTAAATGCTATGCCTAATATTATAGGGGTTTCAATACAGAACAATAAACATTATTTTTACCARTACTTAAATACTCAGATTAACTCAGAATTAATATAATGAGACAAAATGACAGAAGAAAAGCATTTCTTACCAGTAGTTTCCCCACTCGATCATTGTTCCTGGCTGAAATTTGAGTAAGAAGATGACAAAAATGAACAGCAGCTGTTTTAAACACACAACTTTAATAAACTTTAAATAAATTTTTTAACGTTCTTCGAAGAGACAAGTACCCTGAGCTGGTATGATCGGAGCTCATAGATGTTGGGTCCTGGACGAGGGACGGGTTCGGTCCAGAAGCTGAACTCCAGGAGCAGCTGGTTTTTACGAGACAGCAGCATCTTCCCCCTCTCTGTCCGGTACTTCATGAAATCCTACAGAAAGAAAAAAAAAAAAACCCATTACTGAGTGACTCTGGAGTCGTACAAAATCTTTACATCAGAAATAAATTAAAACTGATGCGATCAAAACAACAAAAAAATGAAAAACATCAGTTTTTGGTAAATAAATGTTTTCAAACAAAAATAAAATGTATATACACATCTATATGAGAGTAGAAAATAACTGTAATAAGACAAAGTGAAACAATATTATTCTAAGCTGGATACAATGGAATTCAGTTCTTACAATAATATAATTCAATTCAAAAACATTTTATTGATCCCAGAGGGATATTAGATAAGTCACCTTTTATTTTTTATTATTTTTTTTCTACCCAAAAGTTAAGAATTATATTAATGTTCAGKTTTTTTTCAAAGTAAAACAAAAATAAAACCTAAAACTGTAAAAAAACATAATTTTCCCCCATAAAAACTCTCAAATTTAGTAACGTTTTGTATCTTATAAATACCTTATTTTTTACTAATTCTGAAGTGTAAACACACAAACGTGAATGAGGAAGAACTGACCCTGTTACAGTACTTACCCAGCCTACAGCAACTCAAATCCTGTAAATGAGCTTTAAAGATAACTCCACACCAGACAGATCAGAAACCACAGACAAACACACGGATTACAAACCAGTCTGTGGGTCTAATTTAGGGATGGACTAAGGCCAAAAGCTGCCAGAGAGCTGAACTAGTGGGAGCCCCTGTTACCTTATTCTGCCTGAGTTTGTTCATGACTTCAGTGAGAGCTGGGTATCCTCCCCGATATCTCCATAGGTGAACTAGAATAGAAGGAGCAGAAGAGCCAGAAATAATGCAGCTCCTGAATATGTGTTGTGTTGCTTCGGGCCAAATAAAATCTGTTCTTACACCTCAGAAAATATGATTTTAGAAAATGTGAATTTCACCCACAGCTTTAAGCATTTAGTTATTTAGTAAAATAGAGAAACAGCTCTTTCCACCATGCAGAACAGCCTTTAATTTAGTTCAGCTAAGATTCAATGTCATAATATATATTAATSTAAGAAATAATGAAAACCCACTAAAGTGTTGATTGATTTAATTTGTATTGCAATTTAAATTTTTCAATCTCAAAGTACTAGAAAAATTAAAACATCCAAAAAATATAAAATTTAAGTCTAAAAACAAAATACAGAACTGCTTTTTAGGCAATAAAATGTAAATAAAAATAGCAATCGTAGTTTATGCTTCACGATAGTATTTTACATGAAGAATTYCTGTTTTAGTGTTTTTATACTGTGAATGTTTAACTTCTGTGTCCCTACAGTGWTGGAGTAACATTCCAGTTCAGACACACAAAAAAAGCAAAAAAGTGGACAACAACCTGGAAAAAAGCTATTTAAACAAA